TTTTTTTTTTGATAATGAAAATTTGATTGCAAATGGAGGAGTAATTAGATTTTTAATGAGTAATACTTTTATTTATTTTATGACTCATAGAATTTTCTGATAAAGATGATTCATTGATTTTAGGATTATTTTCACTGAAGATATATGATGAAATATTGGGAAAAATTTGGTTAGAAAGTAAATTACCGATATGGTTGGATTTATATCATGCTTTTTTTCCCAAAAGTAAGTTTTTTCTCAGACTTGACAATTCAGTAATTGAAACTAGCTTAGAAAATAATTTTTTTTAGCAAATCACAATTTTATTTTTGATTAATAAAATAAAATAAAATATGCTCGTATTAATACGACATAATACTAAATAAGTTAGCCGACATTTTTAATTTTTTATTTATTAAATAAAAACTAAAAAATATTTTTAAAAAATTGCACTGATAGTTTTTTAAGTTTTTTACAAGTGAAATTTTTTATTTTCTTCTTTTTGTAATAATTTTTCAATAAAAAAATTTATGAAAATGAAGTTAGCCGAAATTTCAAAATTTTTAGAAATTTTTTATTGAAAAAATTAAAAAAAAAATTGTCACATGTAAAAAAACTTGAAAAGCTATAAGTGCATTTTTTAAAAAATATCTTTTTAGTTGTAATTTAATTAATAAAAATAATCAAAAATTTTTAGGCGTCTGCTAACTTCAGTGTCATAAAAATTTCTGAAAGTTTTTAGATGTCAGCTAACTTTAGTATCATTAATACAACCCATAATTATGACACACTGAAGTTGACAGACATTAGAAATTTTTTTAGAACTTTTCAGCAACGAAATTATTATGAAAAATTTTTTTTATTGTTATTGATTTGTAATAAAAATTTAAAAAATTGACAATTGTTAGCTAACTTCAGTATCATCCCATAATTTATATTTTAATTAATAATTAATTAAAATTTTCTAGAAGCTTCTATCAAAATTAATGGACGCGATTTCTTGAACCATGAAGAAATAAATGCGAAGAAATTTAAGCATTTGTACAATTATTGTAAATTAATAATTGTTGAACATATGATGTATAATTAGATATTATAAATAATTAATAAAAAAATATGTATATATATATATATATATATATGAAATTCAGAAGAATTATGTATATGTATACATATGATCATGTAATTGATGATTTTACAGTAGAATTATTTATTTCAAGATATAATGCAATATTTATTTAATAATTCAATTTATTAGAAGAAATAAATATTTAATTATTTTTATTAAAGTACTTTATACTTATTACGTTAGTAAGATAATGAGGTTAGTCATAATGTTGACAAGCATGTGCATGTATAAACTGTAGATGATTATAGATGAACATGATTTATTTTAAACGATTGTTTAAAGCTTTAATGATAAATCTAATGAGAAAAAAATTAACTAATTGTAATTATCACTATTAGGGAATAAATAAATAAAATTTTTTACGTTAATGTACATTATTATTATTGTATCATGTCTACTTACATAAAATTGTACTTATAAGTCAGATAATATCAAGATTAATACAACACTATTACACGAAAAATACATTCGGTGATAACTAAAAGTTGAATTTTACTTAATTAATTAATCAATTATTAATAGTTAATGATACAACTAAAGTATATGCAAGTGTCTACTTATTAATGTGAAAGATATGAAAATTTAAAATGATAAAATAAATGGTGAACTTTTTTTTTTAAAATAGAAGTCCTTGCTTATTAATTTATATAACTTTCGAGACGTTTGATGAGATTCTTGATAATTATAAAAAATATAAAGGACAAAATTTAATATTTGACACTCGAACATTCATACAAAATATTATTTGTTAATCATGTGAAAATCTAATTGTTTAAATTTTAAGAATTTATTTTTAATTAAGGAAACGATTAATCGATAAATTATATGAGACATAAGCAAGTGTGGAGTTATTAATCTAACAACTCTGCTTTCTCCTTAAGATTATATGATATTAATAATAATAATAATAATAATAATAATTAATTGTAATTTTAATAGTAATAGCCTTAAATTAACTGCCTACAAAAGATGATTACATATTATTCTCTATTTGTACATATGAACCTTTTTGTCAATGTTTAATATTAACAATTATAAACTGCAGTTTAAGAAAACCAATCAAAAAGATTCATTGCCAACAGAGATGACATCACAATGCAAATATTTTTTTTTTTTACCATCAATTTTGATGATTAATCAGTTAATAATTGGCGCATAATAAAATTAAAAAACAAAAAAAAATGAATTGTTCATTGCATTGTGAAACTAAAAAGCAATGTCATGACTGTCTGACACGTAAGTTACAATTTTTCGAATCTTTCTGGCTGTTAATATTCATCACTTACACTTAATTCAATTTTTTTCATTGGATCTTTCCTAATTTATAAGATAAAACCATTTGTTAATTTTTTTTTTGCTTTATATTACTCTTTTATCAAACTTAATTTTAAACACAATTTTTGGTTCATCTTTTCAACGTTATGCCGATTGATACGTGTTTGGCAGTGATGACTATTAAATTAATAAAGATTTATCTATTATTTTTTTTTTTTTTTTTCCAAATGTAAATTAGCAACTATAAATTATGGAAACAAAAATGCTGAATTCATAAAAAATGATAAAGTAAATCATAATAGAAAGATGATAATTAATATTACGCTTGTGAAATGTTAAAATATTCAATATAATTTTTATTGGAGCTTGATTAATTTAAGCACGTTCACCACGGATTCGTCGAGCCAATTGGATGTCTTTCGGCATAATAGTGACACGCTTGGCGTGAATAGCGCACAAGTTAGTGTCTTCAAAAAGACCAACCAAGTAAGCTTCAGAAGCTTCCTGAAGAGCGCCGATGGCTGCACTCTGGAAACGCAAGTCGGTCTTGAAATCCTGAGCGATTTCACGAACCAATCGTTGGAAGGGCAATTTTCTGATCAACAACTCAGTAGACTTCTGGTATCTTCTGATTTCACGAAGAGCGACGGTACCTGGGCTGTAATTTTAATCAAACAAATTAATAATCAATTTAAATTTTTACAAATCAATTATAATTATTTAAATAAATTAAATCAATCAATAAAAAATTAATTAAATAAATAAAAATAATAATTACCGGTAACGATGAGGTTTCTTAACTCCACCAGTGGACGGTGCGCTCTTACGGGCGGCTTTTGTTGCCAATTGTTTTCTCGGAGCTTTTCCTCCGGTTGATTTACGGGCTGTCTGCTTTGTACGTGCCATTATTTCTGAAATAATATTAATAAAAAAATCAATAATCAATCAGATGAATTGAATTTATCAACAGATTCACATGCTACTCAAACGTCCTGAATAAACAGCAACATTCAAAGTACTTAATATCACCACTGCATTTATTTATAATTTATTCAGCATAAGTCATTATTTAAACATGATAAAAAATTTAATTTTACAGCTGTTATTGTTTTGATAACATAATTATCATTAATCATATTTAATATTGTCCATAAAAAAACTTTTCTTTGTTAACAAATTTATTTCCCTCCAAAAGCACATAAACGCACAAAATGGCGGTCGGTCGCGTACATACTAACATAATTGTGTGGAAGACGCTCATCAAATAATTTATCACAATTGTTCTCTAATCAAAAAATGTAATTTTAAAAATTATTACTTCAAAATACTCAGCTAATTTTTTACTATAAAGTTTTAATAATTAAAATAATAAAGAGGTATAAATTCTTACCTTGATTGAGTTTTAATAAAAAAACAACGATTTAATAAAATTCACAATGCAACGTTATTTTACAACGTAAGTGTAACAACTGATGTTGCTGCGGCTGTCGAAAGAGAAGAATAAGCAATGAAAGCACTCAAGAGGTAACCAGTGAACTGCACGGACAACAACAGCCAAACTAATCCTATACCTAACTATACTTCGTGTACATTCAACTTGATCTCTGTGGTGGCCGAGTTATTTCTTGTGTGTTCCTGTTTGTGTAGTTGGTGTAGTTTTTTTTCATTGGTGTAGTGGCCGGTAGTTCCTCTACTGCGCAATCGTGATAAGCCCAGCGACTCTATTGGTCGCTTGAATGTTTTTAATGAAATTTCTGATTTGTTGATCGATCGTACATTTTATTTTTACTATACTCTACGAGTTATTTCTGTAAATTAATAAATATTTAGCTATTGACATCCATTTGGAGTGTTATTTTTGTATCCGGTGTGAAGAAATATTTTATTTAGTTACAGTTGACTCACGTAATTAAATTTTATTATATTTTTCAAGTGCGCAGTTAAATCGGTACCGCCGAGAAATTTATCAACTGATTTATAATTGGTCAGTTTTGGCCTATTAAAATAACATTTTTACACGCGCGTTTTTTTAAATTATAAATTTCATGATTTTTAAATTGAGATATTTAATGAAAAAATTAAATTAGACATCTGAAAATTTTTATGATACTGAAATTGGCAAACGTCAAAAAATTTTTGATTTTTTTTATTAATTAAATTACAACTAAAAAGATATTTCTAAAAAATTGTACTTATAGTTTTTTAAGTTTTTAACATGTGAAATTTTTTTTTTTTTAATTGTTTAATTGAAATGTTTTCAATAAAAAATTTCTAAAAATTTTTAAATGTCGGCTAACTTTATTTTCATAAATTTTTAGAATTTTTTAATGAAAATTAATTTAGCATATATTTAATCATTTTAAAAATTTTATAGCAAATTATGGCAAAAAAAAATTGACTTGTAGAAATTTTAAAAAATAAAAAATGCAATTTTTTTTAAATAATTTTTTGAAATGAAAATTAAGTTAGCCGACATTTAAAAATTAAAAAAATTTTTTTTTATTCAAAAAATTTTAAAAAAATGTCACTTGTAAAAAACTTGAAAAACTGTAAGTGAAATTTTTTAAAAATATTTTTTTGTTTTAATTTAATTATTAAATAATTAAAAACGTCGGCTAACTTTAGTACCATTTTTTTTAAACAAATTTTTTTTGATAAATAAAATTAAAAAATTGTTAAGTGATTACTAACTTTAATGCATAATTTTTTATTGAAAAAAATTAATATACAGAAAATTTTATATATACTAAGTGCAATTTTTTTTTTCTCATAATTGTTGATTCAAAAAATCAAAAATTGTCAAATGTCTGCCAATTTTAATATCATGGATATTTGATCATTTTTTAGAATTTTATAAAAGATAAATTGTAGCAATAAAAAAATTAGAAAAAAAATTCTACATGAAGAAATTGTAAAAAACGATAAGTGTAATTTTTAAAAAATAATTTTTCAGATCTCGTTTAATTATAAAATAAAATTAAAAAAAAACAAAAAATAAAAATTAAAAATATATTGAAATTGGCAAACGTCAAAAAATTTTTGATTTTTTTTATTAATTAAATTACAACTAAAAAGATATTTCTAAAAAATTGTACTTATAGTTTTTTAAGTTTTTAACATGTGAAATTTTTTTTTTTTTAATTGTTTAATTGAAATGTTTTCAATAAAAAATTTCTAAAAATTTTTAAATGTCGGCTAACTTTATTTTCATAAATTTTTAGAATTTTTTAATGAAAATTAATTTAGCATATATTTAATCATTTTAAAAATTTTATAGCAAATTATGGCAAAAAAAAATTGACTTGTAGAAATTTTAAAAAATAAAAAATGCAATTTTTTTTAAATAATTTTTTGAAATGAAAATTAAGTTAGCCGACATTTAAAAATTAAAAAAATTTTTTTTTATTCAAAAAATTTTAAAAAAATGTCACTTGTAAAAAACTTGAAAAACTGTAAGTGAAATTTTTTAAAAATATTTTTTTGTTTTAATTTAATTATTAAATAATTAAAAACGTCGGCTAACTTTAGTACCATTTTTTTTAAACAAATTTTTTTTGATAAATAAAATTAAAAAATTGTTAAGTGATTACTAACTTTAATGCATAATTTTTTATTGAAAAAAATTAATATACAGAAAATTTTATATATACTAAGTGCAATTTTTTTTTTCTCATAATTGTTGATTCAAAAAATCAAAAATTGTCAAATGTCTGCCAATTTTAATATCATGGATATTTGATCATTTTTTAGAATTTTATAAAAGATAAATTGTAGCAATAAAAAAATTAGAAAAAAAATTCTACATGAAGAAATTGTAAAAAACGATAAGTGTAATTTTTAAAAAATAATTTTTCAGATCTCGTTTAATTATAAAATAAAATTAAAAAAAAACAAAAAATAAAAATTAAAAATATATAATTATAAATAAAGGTTAATAATAAAAGTAATAATAATGATATTAGATTTTTAAACTGTTTTAAATTTATTTCATGTACAATACATTTCATTTTTTTATTTTTCTAGAGTAGCGCAAAGAAGCAATAAAGAAATAATTCGTTCTACAAATCATATATATACATATACATAAACACATACATATGTATACATATATATATTGATCATTTGCAATATTTATTATCATTAATAATTAGATATTATAAATAATTATTTGTTTATTAATGTTATAGTTATTAATATAACTTTCAGTCGTCGAAAAAATATTTAAATAAAATATTGGCTATTTACTTTTAATTATCATTATTATTATTATAAGTAAATATTTGAGTAATCTGTATTGCCAAAAATACGGGTCAACATTGATTTCTTTATTTTAATTTTTTTTTGCAATTTATTGCAATTAATCGTCTTTATTATTTTGTTACAATTATTCGATTTGTACTGACATTTATTAGAATTTACTACAGTCGTTAGTTTCATTTTTTAAATCTTGATGCAATGCCGACACGCCGACACTATCATGACTGTCTTCGATTATTTTTATGCAGTTATATTTTTTTTTAATTATTTACATATGTGATAATTAATATTTCAATAAAAATAATAATAAAATGCAAACGAGATAGATACGTTCATAGATTATTTTAATAAAATTTTGGAATGTCTCTTAAATAAATTTGAGTTTATTAAAAAATAGTTGTTTATAACTTTATTTATTAGAGTAAAATTATTAAGCTTCAAGTTTTTTTTTTTTTATATTTTATCACTTAGATAAAAATGATTTGTTTTATCGGAGTATATTTTAAAAATTACACCAAACTTAGTTATAGATAGCAGTCAGAAGTTGTAAAAAATGATATACATAAATATTTATGATTTATTATTATTATTTTGATAATTCAATAAAAAATAATTTCCCATTGCTTTCATTTGTTACGTATATATATCTTATTTTTTTTTTTACTTTTAATAAAGTTGTAGAAAATACAAAAAAAATAAATTATTAAAAATTTATTAAAATTATTAAAATATTAAAAAAAAATTAATTTTATTGTAATTCTGATTTAATTAGTTTGAAAAATTAGTAACTTATAAGTTACCACAACCTCACGATTAATTTTTATTTTTATTTATTTAAATTTGTTATGGTCTATTACTTTAAATACATTTTATATATTTAAATATTATAAAACAATTAACTATCTCGTTTGTGTAAATTTTAATTAACGTAATTACACATTTTTAAGCACACACTCGAAATAATAATTTACTAGTTCAAAATTTCGATTATTTTTTATTTAAATTACGTTAATTATAATTATTAAATTTAGAGAATTGTTGTACGATTAATTTAAAAACTAATATTATCTTTATTGTTTATTAAATTTTTTTTTTTTTTTTTACTAATTTAGTCAAAAGCTAGATCTGCCTCGATATATTTAGTTTTTATCACTTAGTCATACAACAAAGTCTAGAAATAATAAAACTCAATAGCACACTGTTAAAATTTTACGATTGCCAGCCTAATACTAAGTATGATAATTTATTTAATTATTTTTTTAAAATACTATCTACGCCAAATTTTTAAATCTGCCTCATAAATTTCAATCGACGGTTAAAGTTTATTAATAATTAATAAATTAATATTATTTATAAACTTACAACCCTTATTAATTATTTAATATTCAATCAACTACAATTTATTTTATTTGTTTATTTAATTATTAGGCTACATAAATTATTGTTCCGGAAGACGGTTTCGTCATAATGATTTATTGTAATTAAAATAGTTGTCGCGATAAATTCGATGGAATCACTCTTTAACTTTAATTTTTACAATTTATATTTTTCTTTGTATCATTATTATTATTATTATTATTATCATTATTATTATTTGTAGACAAACAAACAAAATTTGCTTTTTTTTTTTATAACTTCTTAGTTAATAAATTTGTAATTATTGGTTGAATATTATTAATAAAAATAAGTCACATATTTTTTATTTTAAAAGCCAATTTAAAAGAAATAGATCAAATTTAATTATGTAAAATTAAATCTTTTACAATTCATTTATTTAAGTAACAAATATATCATGATCGTGAGAAAAAACATTATTATTAATCGTGACAATACCAGTTTTTTTTTTTTTTTTTTCGCACAACTATTCTGTTATTTTTCTTATTTTTTATTAATTTAAATATTTATAAATTGACGTATACATTTTGCCACGTATAACTTAATTAAATTACTTCAATTGATACATTCACATTGGTTAAAAAAGTATTCAATCAACACAATCAACTGAAAATTGTGCTCAAGACGTAGAATAAATTTCAATTGAAATAATTATTTAAAAACTTGCTTTTTATATTTTAATTAAGCTTCAGGTAGCCTGAGATATTCCTAATATAATATTATTTAAGTTTATAAATCTGTATAGCCTTCAAAATTTATTTACTTTTTTTTTTTTGCTCAATCTCATAAAATATTTTATTATTATATTCTAAAAAAATCAAGAATTATTTTTTTATGTAATATAAACACGTAATATTTTAACTATAAAGTTGATTTTTAAAAGTTCACTCCCACAATTTAAGGAACAAAAAAATTAATAATACTTAAAGTTGTTTACGTATTCAATTTGTTTTCAATAATCATACAAATATTCTAGTGATTATGTGTAGATATTTTTTTTTGTCTGGAGTGTGTAGATAATTCTTCTGTAATGTTAACTTATTTATTTATAAGTAAAATTTTTAAAATTTTTTATTTATAAATACCCTATTCAATTGTATACGTATTATACAAATTATATTGTTATTGAAAATTTTATCTAACAGATTTAATTAATAAATTTCATTTATTATAAATGCAGAAGAAGAATCATTCGCACATACAGATCGTATAAAGCGTTTATACTTTTCGAGTATGCTTGTTATTTATTTATTATTATAATTTGTCAAAAATATATTTATATATTTTATTTTCATGTATATTACGCTTAGTTTGGCCTGCCCTATTGTTGGTTTTTTTTTTTTATTTTTGTGCATCATTCAAAAAGTGATATTTAAAAATTTTTAAAATTTTTAATAAACTTGGTCATTAGCGTGATGCATTATTAAACTTCAAAGCTGGAAAATTTACAATAATAATATTAATAATAATCTTAGGCTATAATAATATAAATATACGCATCAAATTTTTAAGCGAATGTAAGATAAAAATAATTACTCTCAAACCTTTACCTCAAAGTATTTATTTTTAAGGTACATTGTGCTGTACGTGTATTTGTACAATGATCTTTTTTCTTTTGATTTGAGATACTTTTCATTATTTACTTAAAAAATTGATTATTGAATAGAATTAGTTTTTAAAATCGCACTTGTAATATCAAATGAAGAATCATTTATAATTTTTGTTAAGTTAATAATAATAATAATAATAATAATAATTACATATTAGAAATGCATATAATTTTTTTTTAAATACAATTAATAAAAATGCATCATCAGTAAATTTAAAATTCGTAATTAAAACAAAATTTTTATTTGCAATTCGATACTTTTTTTTATACATAGTATTTAATTAAGAAAAAAAAATTAACCAACAAGTTGGGCAGTGATCTGTCACAATGTTACAACTGCTTCATCATTTTGAAAATAACTGCTTCGATTTTTAAATCGCTACTATAATCGATCACTTTGTTAATCACCTATTACTCTATATTTTGTAATTAATTCTATTATTTATTTTATTAAATCTAAAAATTTGTTTTCTCATAATTTAAATTTATATTCCTATTATTATATTATTACCAATAAGTAAAATAACATTACAAGTTTTCATTGTTTATTTTTAAATATATATTTTCAATGTATAGGAATAAATCCTTCTTACATTCATCGTGATTGTGACATTAGTTGAATGTTTTTTTTTTTCTTTTTCATTGTAAATAGGCCCACTATGTTATAGTGTTTCATTAATTAATCAGCTTTGTTTTTTTATCATTTTTTAGTCATCAATTTAAAAATATATCTATTCACAATCATGATGAACAAATGTTATCTTTACAAGTACAGCGTAATTAAAACCTATGACGGATGTGTCTTGATTATTTATTATTCACAATATAATCACTTGGTTACAACTCTCACTAATGTTTATTTGTTTACATTCATGGTTATTTATTTATATTTTTAATACTCTGTTATTGGGAAGGCTGTACTCATAAAGATTACTAAATAAACACTAATGACAATTATTACTTTTTTTTTAATCATTATTGTCATAGTGTTGAATTGGTTAAAATCCTAAGTAGTGTTTTACTTTATATATATATATATATATATATATATATATATGAATCTATGGTATGTACGGTTAGCAATTTATTTAAATATATATTTTTTTAATTAATTATAATAAAATAATTCATCTTTAATTATAAATTTGAAAATATATATATTTATATTTTTGAGTGATTAATTTAGTATTTAAAATATTAAAAATATACAATCGCAATTTAATAAACTGAACTGTCAAATAAACTATGTTATAATTTTAAATTGAAACATATTTCGCATCACGCTGTTCAAACTTTTTCACAACGGTAAAACCGTCAATACCACAGAAAATTAAAAAATTTATTTGTTTAAAGCCTATATTTGTTTAGTATTTAAATCTTGATTTATTAATTAAAAATGACCTAATAAAATCTTTCATTTTCTTTTTGGCCTCGTATTTTTTAAATACAATGGTAATTAAATTAAAAAAAAAAATACATTTATTAAAACACTTTGTTATAATTTTATAGACTCTATCTATCATATACCCTTACTATTTTTTGTTTTAATTATTTAACTCCTAAAATGGCAATCTTTCATCTGTTGACAGACTTAATTTTCTTTTATATCTATTAATTTTTGAAATAACACACTTCATTTTTTAATTTTCTCAAAAATAAAAGTCTATAATAAAAAAAAATATAATATACCAATGTAACTTCAATTTCATCTGGGTATTTGAGACTAAAAAATAATTTTGCTCTCATCTTTTTTTCTTCTAATAAATTGTTGAAAAATAATTAAATAATATTTTATCTCTTCTTTTTTTTTTGCTTTTCTATTTTTTTAATTATTTTTGTAATGTTTTTGTCCTTTTTTTTTATTTTTTTTTATTTTTTTTTTTTTTATTAAAATTGGTTGTAACATTATATGTCTATGAGGAAAAAATTTGATAATAACGTTCCTATCTATGCTAATAATTTGTAATATACCTTAAACAATATTAATTTGTAATAGTTAATGAATTAATTATTTTTCTTTTATTGTATATATTGGTTAACAACTGCATTTCAAAATTATCTTCTGTCTCCATATATATTTTTTGGTATCCAATGATACCAATTACTCAATTTTACTTTACTTTTTTATTAATTAGTAAATTTTTTTTTTAAAAAAAAAAAAAAAAAAAAAAAAAAAAATTGTAACTCTTAAATTAAAAAAAAACTTATAAGACAAACGAGTATAAAACAAAACTAGATAAATTTCATGGAGATAATATATCTATTATTTTCATTAATAATTTAATGAAAAATACAATAAAATTCATTTAAATTGAAAAAATGCCTACCTAAATAATTATTAGATATTATTAAATACTAAAATAAGAAAATATAGTAATTATAATAAAAATAAGCTATTTAGAATAAAAAAATCACTGAATGACATAAAACCCCTTGTACCGCTGAGTAAAAAAGTGTGTTAATACTTGAAAAAATTACTACCTAAGCCTAATTAGTTTGATAAATCTGCAAATAATATAAAGTGTTTTCATATGAAAACATGACTGTTTTATTTAATTAATATTAGTGTTATTAATATTATTATTATTATTATCATCATCAATACCAATACTGAAACATCTCACGACTTAATTAATCATTTACGTTACTTCTTTCACTTTTTGTTGCGTTTTACATTCATCATTATTATTATTATTATTATAATAATAATTCATCGTTATTATTATCATTTATCTCCCATTCAAAAAACTAACCGTCAGACTATTATCATTGTACTGATTATTGTGTCAGTGTGCAAATTTTTTTTTAAATATACTTTTAAACTCGATCAATTCCTAAGAATTTTATTTTGTTTCATTTTAGTTTAATTAGTCCATTAAACATTATAGAGACTTGGTCTCTAAAAAAAAAAAAAAGCATTACGAGACTTAGTCACTGTGAGGCAAATATTAATTGAAATTAAATAAAAAATTACAAAAGTGACTCAATAAATGTTTTTAAGTCTCTTATCATTGTTCATTTAGTTTTTGTTTTGGTATTTTTCAAAACTAACTTATGATGATGCCAACGATGTCAGCAGTTAGTGTCACTTTTATTTGATTCATGATACTCACGGTTAATGAGATAAACAAAACTAAAACATAACAGTAATCTTGTCACACTTGTTTCAATTGACGTAACGCGAACTTTTTTTTTTTTTTTTTTCTTGTACTGTTACACTAATCGTGACAGTTTAGAGAAGAATGTACTAAAGAAGATGATGACAATGATCGTTATGAAGATGATGATGATGATGATGATGGTAATAACGAGTTTAATGGTAATAACTTGATTTAACTAGTTGACACAACGGGAGTTTGGCAGTATGGACATTCACGTTGATTTGGTGCACACGCTGAACATACGACGTAATGATTACATGGTGACAAAGTCACTGCACGATTTTGTTCTTCACAAACCATGCACTTAGTTGCTGTTTCTCGATATAATACCTATTTCAAATCATTAATCCAACATTAAATTTTAAATATCTTCAATAAAATATTTATATTATTATTTAAAAATAATAATGTGAAACAATTACTTTTTCAACTTCTTCAAGCTCTTGACGTAACTGTGTTTGAAGTGATTTTAAGGTTCCTATTGATAGATTTCTTAATTCAGTATTATTACGTTTCATTGAAAGAAGATGTGAACTTCCACTCGAGGATACTGCTTCATTCTCATTTTTCAATACTTTAACTTGCATTAATGCCTCATCTCGCTGTTGTTCTGCAACTGATGCTTTTCTTTTAGCCTCTTCACTTTCCATTTGCCAAGCCGAGCATGCAGCTCGTGCTTGATTTATCCTCTCGTCCCAAGTAGCCAGTTGAGCGCGACTTGAAGTCAACTCTTCTCTCAATCTCTGAACCTGTAACTTATTGACTCGTATTTACCACTATTTAATATTTAATATAATAACTACAAACATACATCGATACTGTCATTTTACTACATCGTATACCACATTTAAAAAATTTTACAGCAGACGGTAAAAATAGTTCATTTTTAACATTGATTAAATGGGATTCAACGGATGAAAATATTTATTTAAAAATAGTTATTAACCCGTAGTGGTCACACTTGTTAAATATAATGAAGTGGTCATATTGGGTCTAGTTGACTCCATGCACGGAAAAATTGTTGCTACTCGTGTTCTTTTCAATATTTTCACTCGAGTCGTACATGAGAGTAATTCTTAACACTTCCGTTGAATAACTCAATCGTTTTTTAATTTTTTTTTTTTTTAATTGTTTAATTATAAAAAAATGTAAGAAAGTCAAATTTCGAAAAATTTGACTTTTTTTTTCTTTCTAAAAACTTCATTTAAGATAAATGAAAATGACCTCCAGGGTTCTACTCCGGATATGGCATACTTTGAAAAAAAAAAAGTGATGTCATGTCGAGCTTTTCAAAAAGTATATTGATTTGTGCAATTGAAATCGTAAATTTCCATGAATCTCAAAAAATCTTCAAACAATAATAGATGGTACCACAGATACCATTTTGAATGATATCTTCGAAGCAAGAACAACTCAAAAATTGCCTCAGGTCATCTAGACCCATAATGACCACTACGGGTTAAAAACAGAATAAGCAAAATCATCAATAAATATACTATTGATATCGACATTTTTAGAGGACCAGCAGATAAAATAAAAAGTAAAGCAAAAAAGGGTGATTCTGAAATAATAACATTCCAGTTGTATAAACAGTGATTATAAACTATCAATTAGTAATTGTTAATTATTAAAAATTTTTATCTTGTTTTTCTCTTCTCTCAGATCTCTCAAATCTTAAATTTATCTTCTCTTTACAGATACTATTTATTGTATATAAACATTATTAAACATTTTACTCATAAAAATGTAAAATATTTCTATAAATTCCCGAGAGCGTTTCTTTACAAATAAATAAATAAATAAATAGACTATTTGACCTTTAAATTTTTAATGTGACTTGCATAATATTGTTGGAATTCTATTTTTCAAAAAAAATTAATATGTCAAATATTGTGAGATGCGAGTATTAGAATGGCAGTATCGTCATAAGAAATATAAATTATAATTAATACCTCTGACATCGATCCGGAATTGCTAGGACTTATAGAAAATGCATTGACAAGTGGTGATGCTCCTAATGGTTGTGTACGAGATGGCGACAGTCCTTGATTTGCAAAATCAAATAGACTACTGTTGAAACCGCTTAATTTTGACGTTGAGCTACTCAATTGTGTTATGTGATTAGTAAATGGATCTGATACTGAATGACTTAAAAATGGCATTGTCTGTAACAAAATAAATTATAATTGATAACTAAAAAATTATCACAACTGTTTTATATGATAGAAATTAAAATAATTAATAGAACTTACAGATTCAATTGGATCTTGATGAGAGAATCTAGATCCAGTTAAAAATCCTGCAGATTGTAAATTTTGTAATGGACTTGACGTAGATGGTGAGAAATTAGATAAAACAGAGCGCTCAGTCATTCCAGGAATATTAACTGGCGCAGAGCTACCGAGTAATCCAGAGCTCGCGAGACCGGCAGATATTGAATTGCTTATTGGAGAGCTTGTTTCACGGTGTATTGAATCTACTAGATTTAATGGGTCATCTAAATGCAATTCATCCAATGCATTACCTGGAACCGTAATACCAATTGTCAACATAAATCCTTTTGTGTTTAGCATTGGTAAATTAATGATTAATAAATAAATAAAATTACACACCTACTACTGACTCAACGGTATCATTAGGATAAAATGAACTACTTGAAAGTGGCGATATTGTTGATGCTAGCGAGTGTCCCAATGAACCATTTATATTATAGGCTAGCACAATACTTTGTCTACGTTGTGACTTTTCAGATTTTGTCAACGTTGGATCATTCTCTATTGCTAGCACTTGTTTTCGTAATTCATTCTTCAAAAAAAAAAAAATTTATTTATAAAATATCTCCATAAAATAAGAAAAAAAAAAAAAAAAAATAGATTTTTTTCTATTAAAAAAATACTTACAAATTGTAAAAAATTTGGATTATATAACATGCTGGATAATTTATGTTGATTATTTGTTGAATTTGTACTGGAATTATGTAATTGTGCACCAGGTGCTTTACTGTGTGAATTGTTACTACCAAGACTACTTGTACTTGCTGATTCAGATACTTCACCGCTTCCATTCTGTAATCCCAAAAACTAATGACATTTGATTACATTAAAGTTATTTTTTATTTTTTTTTATTTTTATTTTTGTTAATTCGATTGTGACAGAAAAAAAACACAATGTAATTCTAACTAAGTAACAGCTGTTAGTGCGTGAAATATAATTAATTGGGTGTGTTTATTGGATGATTGTAGTGAAAGAAGATATAAAAAAAACTTACACTACTATCGCTCAGCTGTTTGTCTTTATCGTGTGAGCGTTTGTCGGGAGGTAAAGCATTGCTGAGTAAATCTGCCAAATTGGTGCCGCAATCAATTGGAACAGCCATATCCCGTGCGAGGCCCATGTCTTCTGTTGGCAATACTGCTCCATCAGCAACGATACCCATATCATCAATAGTTAAATGTATATCAATGTCAAAACGTGTGATTAATATTTATTTAATCGATAAATTTTTCGTATCATACAATCGGTTATTTCTTACTAATACACAGAAAAAAAAACTTCTTGCACCAAAAAAATTTTAAGAAAGACAAAAGTTATTTTGGAGCAAGAAGAAATTTTCTTGGCTCAAGAAATTTTGACTTTAAAAAATTTTAAATCTTCCTTAATATTTTCTTGAAACAAGAAAATTTATCAAGTCAGAAATTTTTTTTTTTTTCAGTGTATGAATAACTAATAAATAAATGCAATGTAAAATAAAACATCGAATAAAGTAGCAATAAAAATAGAATTTAACTATAAAGTTATAGTGAGAATGTTTGATGAATAATTAAATAGAATTGAATTTTTTTTAGATAGTTTGAAAGCACTTAAAATTTGATAAAATGTATAGTGACTGGTTTTACGTACGATTTATGAGAGTAAACTCACGGTCAACGTGTGCAAATGCACAGAAGACGCCACGAGGACAATAACCAGCTTGTTGTACATCATTACACTTTGTTGATTTATAAATTTCCGGATGAAATTGTTGTTCTGTACGGGTATGACAGTACATACAGTTATCTCCTTGGTCACAATTCCCTGGTTCACCCCACTCTTCACCATGTTTGACATTAGGACAAGGTGTTGACCTATTAAAAAAAAATTCAAATTCAATGTTTTAACTAATGTAATTTATTCAGCCAATATAGATATAAATTATTAAAACATTACTCACCGATACTTTGATTTACGTGGGCTGCGTCTTTTGTCTTTACTATTATGATATTGAGGACACGCGTATCCCTGTCTACATAGACGTGGTGGTCTTTTACACGGCTCAGTTTTGTAATTACTGAGAACATAATTAGTGTCTTGCCATTTAGGATCCTCATTCATCAAGTTACGCTCTTTATCCAGTATATTTGGTCCATTTGAAGATGAATTGGGATCCGAGTCGGGATTTTCCAGGGCCTGGATTTCTTTGATATCATATACCGGCGGGCGTAGATCGTGATTCCCGTGAGCAAACGCACAATGAGGTCCATTTTTTACACAAAACCCACGTGTATCTGTGTCATGTACACACATACAAGTCTTGTAATACCGTAGATGATAACGTCGCTCTGTATCTCCGGCTGTTCGATGTAAAAATGGGCACCTGGAATAAAACACACATAGTCATCATTTATACATCAGATTAAAATAATTTTCATTTTAGTTTTTTATTAACAATTTTAAATAAAATTTTATTATTTAAACAGCAATAATCGTCTCCATTGGCTGGATAATTTAAGCAATTAACTGAAACTAATAATTGAATGGGTTTTTAAGTTAATCTTGTACAAATCCTCCTTAAAAATACAAAGCTTCGTATTAAATTCTGTTGACAAAGAAAATATATACCCAGGTATATATTTTATATATATACACGGTGTATATATATATACACGGCCAGCTGAGAGATGAAGTGGAGTATGTTAAACAGAAATTCTATATCCAAGTCCACTTATTAAAACTTTTAACCATCTGACGAAAGAAAAAAAGAAAATATTTATTTTTTTAACCAGAATAAATAGTACAATAAATTAAAAAAAAAAAAAAAACAAAAAATTGAAACAATAATAACGATTATTTTTTAGATAAAAAAAAAATATTTTTTTATTATTCCAATCAGGTATATAAAGAGAGGCAAGCTTCATCGCGATGTGTACCCACGAGAAAATCAATATCAGGAAAGCTTCTTTGTTTGGTATGTATGGGCTTCCCCCCGCACGCGTCATTTCACCAATTTTTTTTTTTTTTTTTGGAGGAAAAATACCCATTCGTTTATTTATTTATCAACTAATTATTCAATTAATTAACGATAATCGATATTATATAATTAATATTGTTAAATTATCTTGTATTAATATCAAACTGTATTGTATTTATTAATAAATCAAAATAGTTAAAAATAAAAATGTTTATTTATAAATTAATATCAAAGCTTTGCCTATCGATGACATGATTTGAATGGTTAAATTGTATACGTCTATGAATTGCTAAATAATATCTCGTGTGGAGTATTATGTTGAGTTGTGTTTTATCGGTCGTTGTAAAACAACAACAGGTGAACGTTTCTCAATGAAATTTATATACGTAGACATAATAGTAATGAATACATTGTAACAATATGTTACAATTGATAAATATCTTTATTATTGTATCTGCAAGATAACAATTAAAAATGCAAAGTTAAATAGAAGTAATATTTTTAGTTTTATATAATAAAATCAAATAAATAAATGAATTATAATTATGAATCACAGGAAATATATTATGTCTCAAAAAAAAATTTCTCAATCAATGACTCACGTACAATGATATAAGATTCTTTATACATGTTTTTTTTTTATGACTTCATCTTCATGTATTTTTAATACTCTACATCAGTATTTCCGGTATATGTTTAAGTAATGTCCCATATATTCATTTCTATTTTTAAACTAATAGTTATCTGTCTTTTTAGAGTATAAATTTAAATAAAAATTGTGTGTATAACTCGGAGAAAGCAAACGGTCTTTGGATTTTATTTGTCCATAATCAAACGGTAAAATGTGTCGAGTAGAATAATAAAAGTAAAAGTACGAGGTTTAGGACAAAGCATTAGTGTAAGCCTTAAGCATCAGCAGTACCATTACCAGGAAAGTGAGTAGTCTAGTATGTAATGCACAGCATCAGGGTGAACCGTCGTCAGATTCAAAATCTCCAGTTTTTCCCCCCATTTACATTACTAGAGTTAAAAATCCCCGATGTGATATTAACAACAAAGAAAAATCCAGCAGACTCTTATTGAGGAAATGCGTCCTTTTTCCGGCAGACCCTTTACGAACAAAGAAAACAAATTCTTTGTCTCGATGAGCATGCAGCGTTGAGCACAAAACAAAGACCAATTTTTTTTTTTCTTTCTTCATTATTTTTATAGACGTTTATGTAGGTAGAAAGTGTCGCAACAAGTTGCTGATATATGTGGAATAATTCATGAATGTAATGTTAATTTAATAGTAAGATAAGACATGTAGTAAGCCGTTGAAATAAAAAATAATTTTAAAATTATTGTCATTAAATGTCACGGACTCTGGCTGTCAAGTAACGCGTCATTGCCAAGTTCCCGAGATACTAATAATAATACTAATGCTACCAATCGATATAGATAAGGTCACACATATAAGAGTCGGCTCTTAAAAAAACAATAATAACAATATTATGATGATAATGAAGGTTATTATAAAAAATAGTCAAAAAGCAGTGGCTTTAATTTGGATTCGTCAGCTGGTGATAAGCCAATGAAACAATGGAACAATGAAATGCTGATATCTATTAACTGAAAATTAGATAAACGAAATTATTAAATTTATTTGTGTGATGGAATATCACGATAAGCTAGCAGTTTGTTAAGTTCATTAATAACTAAATAATTGAATATAACATATAATAGAATGAGAACTTACTCGTCGCCGTCGGGACATATGCCGGTAGTCTCGTCGTACTTGCTGCAATAATTGTCCGCGCTGTAGTTGAAGGTGCGGTCCCGTTTTCTCACTGGCCTGCGTCTTCGCTGGTTCATAAAGTGCCAGTTGAAGCACGTGAATGGCCGATGCTGTGTGCACTTTCGCTGTATAAACAGTGGACATTGTTCGACACGAAATTCCTTCAAGTATCTGGAATGCGAATCCACAGAACTAGACATTATATTTAATTATTTGTTTTTGAGTGACAAAGTTTTAGACGTAACCACGCGTCTTTTTTATTCAATAAATAATTTCCCTCTATTTTAACAAATATATACTTTTTTTTTTATTTTATTTATTTATTATTATTATTATTATTATTATTATTATTATCATTAGATAATATTTTTTTCACTAAACACTGGCCACTTTAGCACGTTCCAAATCCAACCCATTTAAAAATGATTAAAAATCTTTTTTACTTGTTAATAATTCCCTCGCTAACTCGACCCGTTACTCTCATTTCCCTCGTGCGTCTAATTTTTTATTTTTTAAATTTATTATTATTATTTCCCATTACACTCCTCGCTCTCTCAACGTATATCACCCATTACGCATCTCACGTCTTGTCTCTTTTCCATTCCCGCGATATATATTTTCTCTTTCCTCACGACTTCTCTCAAAACTCCACCACCACCACCACCACCACCACCATCACCATCACCAATAACCACCACCTTCTTTGCTGCTGCACCCTCCCACCCGTGATTACTTTTACTCTTTCCTCCTGTCCACGAAAGCCTTAGCCTTCTCTCTTGGTTGGATTTTTTTATTCACTCACGCGATCTCTCCATCGTTCTTTATTTTTTTATTATTTATATATTTATTATTATTTAAGTAACTCTATTAAGTTTTTTTTTATTTTCAATTTCCCTCCCTGCCAATTATTAAATTAATATCAAAAAAATATTTTATCATCTTTATTATTATTATTATTATTTTTATTATTATTAATTTGAGGCAACAACTTTTAATGTGGTTAAATTTATAAAATTAAAAACTCGCGACTTGTGATTATTGTTAGGAACACAAATGATAGAGCACGCGGTCTGAAGTGGCGAACGTTACTTACGTGTAATGATTCGCCTTTTCCGCTTGAGCTGTCAACAAAGATTTTGAGTCGGACTTCATCTTGGTGGACGTAAGACAACACAAAAACAGCAGCGGCGTCGTGACCGCTGCCACAGCCGCCGTAACACAAAACACAACACGCGCGCGCACTGGTCCGACACCCACATATATAGAAATACAACACGCACGAGTTGTTACACTATTTTATTTCATATTATCTATTATTAATATTATTATTATTATTACTATCAATATTACAATAACGTCTAATAAAATTACAATTAATATTAAATATAAATCTAAACATATAAATTTTACATTTTTTATTCATTTATTTAACTAACTAGCTAACTATTTTTACAAAGTTTCGTTATTACAATTACACCAAACCGTACTTGGTAATTATTATCCATCGAAAACGTTGTTGTGCTGTTATGTAGCTGTAGGTTGTTGCTCGCTTTTTTGTTGGTGTGCGTGTATCAGTTAACAAACAACACACCCAACTACTAACAAACTATACTGACGTGTGTGACACTTAATAAACGAAAATATGAGATCCAGACTTTATGTATATATACGTTGTTTAATTTACATATGTGTATATAATTTATATTGTGTTGTAGGTTTCACATGCACAAGCTACACAAGCTGACTCAAGAGCGACCGGTGGGAGGAAATGCGACGACAACGACAACGATGAGCAGCGACAACCAAACCAAATGGAAAGACTAAAATCTTTTTCTTTGTGTATCGCGGATTACACATATGATGTACGGACACGCGTTACACGTTACACTTACTTGGATAGATTACACAGTTACACACACGTTTAAATTATTATTTTATACTCGCGCATGCGTGTTTTGTTTTAATCCCAACTGACGCGTGCGCAGCCCGCTAAATGCGCGCGCACCTACACCTGGTTTTTGAAAAAAAGATGGCGGTGAATATTTGATGCGCAGTTTGATTTCACGCAGGCAATTCCCCGCTAAGCGCCAATCACATCCTTTAATTTGTCATGTGACCCTGGATCGTTTTTTCAAGGTCATCCGTGTTATGATCCACCCTGAAGTAAACAACTCAAGGTAACTATGTGTGGATTCTCAATATGTATGTTAACGTACGCGTACAATCTTTAGAGAATATTTGCTGCGTAGGGTTGCTATACACTATTGATTGGCCTCTGTCCCCTGTCTCTTTGTCCTTGATATTCCGTTGGACCCTTTCATTTATTAGGTATCATATTTTTATCTACGCAGTATTTTTTTTTTAAGTTTTTCATTATTTCATTTTTATTGTTCAATTTGGTAATCAATGATAAGAGTAATTTTAAAATACCGGTCTTGTTCTAATTTTTTGTTATAAAAAACTAGATTGCATTTATTTATTTATTCATTGTTTGGCTTTTATTTTTATTATTTATAATTGATGATTACTGATATTATCGATAATACAACGTTATAAATCTATCTATTCACATTGCGTGTCACAGAATAATTCAACTTTAATGTGATAAATCATCACAATTGTATTTCAATATTTTACACAGTATTTTTTGATAGTTTTCGGTAAAATTGATTATGAAAAAAATTTTTTCCAACTCACTAAGAATACCCGGTAAATTCACACAGTATAAGTTACTTGTTTATTTTTTTCTTATAATATTCTGTTTGACGCGCGCACTTTGGTGCAAAGAAAAATCTTTTATTTTTGCAATTTCACAAAATAAGTCAGTGCGCATGACAATAATTGTGGCGCGAATTTATTTACAATTTAAATTTATATATTTTTCACCATAATAATAATAATTGTAATAACAATAATAATAATAATAATAATAATAATAATAATAATAATAATATAAATAAATTCAAACCTGGTCAGTTGAAATTAAATTATTTAGAACTAAAATACTTAATATAATATTAAATAAATAATTCAAATTTATTGGTTTAATTTTTTTTTATTTATTAAAAAGTCATGGACAATTTTTATTTTTTTATTGATAATAAATCGCAAATAACGCACACCTCAAATATAAATACTTTTGATTTAATCCCGTATTTATTCATCAAATAATTATTCATTAATTACTGTAATATCTAATTAATATTTTCTTATGGATGGACAATGTTCAATTATGTCTATTAAATATTTCACCTGTTAATAAAATTGAATTTTATAAATTTAATAAGCATCATAATATATCAAGGAAACATGATTGCAATACTTTTATCTTATTTTCTATAATAATTAATTATTAATATCCAAATTCTTTTATTTAAAATACATATTAGTGAATTTAAATTATTGATAACTCTAATGTAGCAATTAATTTCTTACTGAGAACAAGATAAAAATTTAGAAGCTCATACAACTTCACAATAATACCTTTAGCAAGAAAAAAAATCTACATAAGTTATTATAAAATGTAAATGCAACCACGCTCAGTAGATTTATCAATTTTTTATTAATAAAATCTAATTAATTGAATTAACGTTAATAATTATCTTAATAAATCATTTTTTTTGTACCCCATCTACAGTACTTTAAACAGATTTAATATTATTTATTAATAATACGTACATTGGATGGAGTTGTACTTTTAAATTTAATTATTTAGTTAATTACAGTAACAGAAGATTTTTTTTTATATTTATAATATAATAATAGCTGATGCTTTGAGGCGCGCGTAAAAATTAATACATATAATTCGAACATCGAGAAGAGAGCTTTCTTTTAATATTATTCAATAATAATAATAATAATTCTTATAATCATTATTACTATTATTATTATTATTGTTAATCCATTTATTTTTATCTGTTTGGTATACGTCTTAATTGTTTTTAATATATTTTTATTTGATAATAACAACTTAACTATGTACATAAAAGATGTCTCGAGTCGCTCATAAAAACGACTTTCGCGAATGATGGCTCGATGTCGCTGATTATTCAGTGCAATTGTATCTTATTGCATTTATTTATATTTTAAATAGATTAATTGTTCAAGCAGCTTTGTTTTAAATTATAAATTAAATGATTTCTAGCTGATATCTAGAGTACAATTTTGATTCTCTGCTAATATTTTATTCGCGAGTTCCAATTTATTTTTTAAAAAATCATGCGTGCGTCTAATTTTAAATGCAGCATTTATTTTATTATATTAAACATAATTATCAATTTTTATTAATGAAAATAAATTAAAAAAATAATAAAACTTAGAAAATAGATTAATTTTAATCGCTTAATTGTTCTTTTTGTTATATTGTATTCATAACACAATTGGCTATATTCTAATTTGCACAGAATGAAAACGCATATATGTTATGGCAAGTGAAATATTAAACAAATGAATTTCCCTCATAATAAATTGTTTAACAATATCCATAGATACATAAATTACTTGTTTAAAATATTCAACTGCCTTGATATAAAAAAAATTATAAAACAAAGTTCGAGCCACTGTAATATCAACATCTTGAGCCCTCATTATCATAATTTTATAAATAAACTAAAAAAAAATTAACGAATACACGAGTCACTTAAAAAAAATAAGTAAAAAAAAAAAAAAAAAAAAAAAATTAATAATTTAAAATGATATCATGGGGAAGCATTGAACGTCAAAATTTTAAACGGTCGTACCGTAAGTGCTGAACATCACCCGAGTGGTATCAGTGTCCAAAGTAACGTCTTCCGGTGACGCAAGATCAACTTTAATAGATCCCGAATTGTTTCTACGTCTGGCCATGCCGCCGCCCCAATTAGATAGTGTCCAGTGGTAGGTTTCACTTTCGCTTTTGATCTCGCCCTCTTGTAAAACTTCCGCAGTGTCTAGGCCGGTCTCCAGGGACACTGATGACTGGGAAGCAACAGAGTCGAAGCTAGAATCACCACCACCCCCGCGATAGCGACCAACGCACTCGGTAGCCATCTCACCCGGTGATTCCTCGATAGCTCTTAGAATGTTTTGACAGAGCTCAGAGTCAAGATCAATAGGGTCTTCGGAGTCGCGATTATGAATATTTACGGCAATATGAGCTGGATGTGGTATGGGAAGTGGTATTACTAGTTTTTCAGCACTGTAAGGACGTATTTCACGTTTCCATGGCTGCCAGCGTCCATCACTAACGGATAATCCCGAGTTAGTTTTACGTCTTGATCTTGGCGATGTCAATAAACTTGTCTCACATCTTTTTTCCGGCTTGCGACTGTTGCTAGCCTGCTTGGCTCGCGGATTAAAGTACGAGACCTCGAGATACGGACTCTGTACTTGTATGTTACCTCGTGGCGCGTAAATAGCGCCCAGTAGATCTAATCCATTGACACCACCTAGTTCAGTGCTGTGAACCATTTCTGTATAACGAGTTAGATCCACTCCTGGATGTGGTTCAAGCTTGAATTTGGTGTCAGTATCATCAAGAGGCTGCAAAAAGTCTAAACTAAACATGTCGGCATACATAAGACCAGCCAACCCGGCCCAGTCTCCAACATTCAGGCCTTTATTTTCCCAGAAATCTTCCTCACAACCGTTCAGACGTGCCAGCACGTGCGATGGATACAGTCGCTCAAGCATCAACGCAGCTTGCTGTATAACAATTTTAAGATCAAATGTTGTCAACTTAATCTTGCTTCTTACAGCGACCCCGAGACCAGTTTGCAAATCTTTGCGTCGGCGATCTAGCTTTTCGTGAAGCACAGCAACCAAATCACGCGCCTCTTTCTCCAATGACTTGTAAGGATCACGAGTTTTAGCCAAACTTGTGGCAAATGGACTGAAGCACGCCTCAACAAACTGTGTAAAGTCACGTTGCGGTTGTGTTATAAGACGTTCAGTTTCTTGTTGGAAAGCCAGAAGTTCATCCAGCTCAAGTTTAGCTTCAAAAGCCGCTAACGCTTGCTCTGGTCTTATTTGATAATAATAGTCTGAAGCTAGTCCAGGGCCCGCTATTCTCTTTACAACAAAACTGTCGCTTGCAGGTACACGTCCTCGATTCTTAATCACAAGATGGAACATTGCCGTGTCCCACATTACTCGTATCCAGTATCTTATCACAGCAATTGTGAGTATCAAAAACGAAATTATTGGACATATACATACGGCGACTAATAGTGCGACGATAGGCTGTAAACAGCCCTGGATACCGATATTCCACACGAGTGCTTCCATTACAACTAAATATCGATTTCTACTTGGCTCTGGACTGTCGAGATCCATTACCAGCGCCATGAATGCATGCAGTAGTAGTGTTACTATTGGCATCCTGGAAAATATAAAAAAGAAAAGGTATTGTAAAAGATTTAACGTCATTACTATGCTAATAATGCTGCTTTGAAACAAAGAGTAATAATAATAATAACAAACCATAAAAACGCAGAAAGAGCGATGACGAGTGAACTGAAACTCGCTATAATGCAGATTATGGGAAAGAGGAAGAGAATACCCATAGTTCCCATAAGACCTTTTACTCCATAATTCCAGAGTCTGTTTATGTGTCTCGTCATTCCTTTTCCAATAAATCCTATCAAAAAATAAATAATAAATTTATTTTTTTATTCATAAAGACAAAGCGGTAATCGGAAAAAATTTTTAAGATATGAAAAATTCATTAAAATCATTATAAAATAAGAATTATAATATCCACCCCAATAATTTTTCTGAAAAACAATTAAAATTAATTTATCAGATATTTGATAATTTTAAGAATATTTTTAACAAATAAATTATGGCAAAAAAAAAAATAAGAAAAAAAATTGACATGAAGAAATTTAAAAAAAAAATTAAAAATCCAATTTTTAAAAATAATTTTTTGGACAAAATTTGTTTGTTAAATAAAATTAAAAAATTGTCGTGACTGCTAATTTTAATCTCATTGAAAAACAAGCAACCCCGAAATGATCGCTCAATTTTTTGTTACAAAAAAAAAATATTATTATTATTATTATTTTATTTTATTTTATAATAATTTTAATGAAATAATATAAATTTTTCAAAACTTTAAAATTTTTTCCGGGATTCAGACAAAGCAATGATAATTAATTATTAATAATAAATTACCAGTGTCAGGCTCAGTCTCAAAGTGGGTCCGACTTTTACTGATATGCCGCCAGAGTGCAATCAATCGTGAACATAATGTCGGTGTTTGGGAGGATTTTCGGGGAAAAAGTGTCCCATTAAGTTGGCTCAACTCCAAATCCGGTGTGAAGGGCTCAACCAGTAGAAGCGCACGTAACGAGACACGGCTGCACCAGGGTACTGCTACGCCAAACAGAAACATTGCGTTCCACGTCCAGCACCACGTTCGGGCAATGTAGTTTATCCACCGCCACATTGGCCATCGTGTTGTCGTTGTGTGACAAATCTCTCGTTCAACCAAAAATACCGGCTGACTAGGATCTGCTCTAGGGGTTGTAATCGATGTCGGTGTGTTGCTCAAAACTGTAGGGATTATTTCGGAGACTCCTTGGAAATTTCGTCTCACTATCCAATTACGTGGTAGCCAGATTTGCGTTGGCCATTGGAAACTACGTGTTGGTGTTTTTACTTTACGTAACTCTTTTAGTAAAACTGGTTCACGCTGTAATTTTAATGCAATTAATTTGTCTGTTTATTTTTAAGTCATTAGAAGAATAAATAGATTGAAATAGATTAAAGTACCTCTTTCATGAATGTCAAGTCACGATTGAGGAAGTAAACAGTTTGACGTAAATTCTGTCGATTACACAAAGACAATGCCTCTTCGTGTGCGCTCCATTCACATTCTTCAATAAAATTAGCCTCAGCTTCTCTCATTCTGTCTCGCATCCATGGTCCTATTCGCGCGAGAACCGGATGTTCACTTTCCATTTTATAACGCAAAGATTCCTTGGTATGCTGCAACTTTCGCTGGACATTTTGAACCGCTCGGTGCATCAGTACCACTGATTGAGCTTGTTCAATCAAAAGCTGGGCTATCCCATCGCCTAGGGCCAAGATATCCGGATGAGAAAGTATGCTTGAGTATACTCGCTGGAGGTATTCTCGCATTACCGCTTCATTTACTTGCTAAAACATAATATTACAAAAAAAAAAAATAAAAAATCATTTCTTTCAACAGAAAAAATACAAATCGACGGTCTAATTAGCAATTGGTCTAACTTCTTATTTTGTAGAGGGTGATTTTTTAACATATTGATGTAACAATAGTTCTATTATAAATTATTTGAGTGATCTAAACCAAAATATTATACCTCTATTAGATATTAAATTGTTTTTTGAAGTGATAATAAATTTTTAACTAATTGTTTTATCGTACAAATGGAAGATTCTCTTAAAAGGAGTTAGATAATTTGCTAATTAGAATGTCTAAATATAAATACTTGCCTGTTCAATCTCTTCGTCGCTCTTTTTTTGTGCTCGTAATTCCGAAATAAGTCTTTCGCGAAAATGTAAAAACCATCCACGTGTTTCGCGTTCCAATATAGATACCAGGGTCGATAAAGCTTTTCTAATGATGTCACGACTAAATAATCTCAAATCAACAGCAGTACCGGCAGGTGTCCCAAAGACAAAAGGCACCGAGACTGGTAGCAATTGCGATGATTCGCGTTCCACTTCAAACTTTTCCATCGTCGCTCGTCGTAATTGTTTGCGTATAAAACCGCAAAGTAATTCCAGTGAATCGTCATACTCAGGCTTTTGTTGTAAATACACATCAATTTGATGTACATGAAAATAATAATAATAATAATAATGGAATTAATTAAAATTAAACGTAACTAAGTATAGTAACAAATTAAAAGTTATCAATTACAAGTTTGGAATTTCAAATTGCAAATTTCAACTCGCAGAATCAGAAATAGAAATTCATGTAATTAAATCTAAACTTTTAAAGAATAATTAACTTTGTCACCTTACCCGACAAACTAACTCCGCTACAAGATAACGACATCTCTCTTCACGAATTTTACCATCTAAATTTTGCGCTTGAAGTGACGGTACTCCAATAATTATATCTGAAATTTTAATTTTATTTATTATTTAGTTGAATTTTATTAAAAATAAATAAAATTATTAATTTTTAATTAATAATAATAATAATAAATTTACCCAGAAGTCTTAAAAATCCAGTCAACAATGCTTTAAGTGCTTGTGAAATACTAAAACAATGAGATACTAGTCGCGCTCTAGCAGTAACGACAATAAATCTTGTTGCCAAAGCTAAATCTTTCAGTAAAGTCTCTCTTCTGCGATCTCTGCCTCGCTGGAGAAGTCCACTGAGTCGCCATCGGTGTGTTTGACCCGTGAAATTTATTGAATCCACCTCAAATTCTCTGTAAAGTTAAATCCTAATTAAAAATTAAAAACTAGGTAATGTCAGCGCACACGCCTCACTGTTCTCGCACTCGTTAGCTTTTTTTGCCGCACATTTGACAAACCAGGTGATTTATACAAAAATACGTGATGATTAAATTACCAGGATAAAAAACGAAACTTGGACAGAAAACACTTACTAAAACAATTAATTATTAAATAAAATTAAACTATAAATAATATACATAAATAATTAATGAAATAAGATAGCATAAATTATTGATTTTCCACGCACCATATACACACCAATTGTTCTAATTAATACTAGTATAGACTTACAAAGCTCACTAATGTTTAAAGAAATAGTTTAATTGCTTCTATTGTCAAAGAATGTAAGTGTATATTTATAAATACATTTTTTTGTGTTTTACACGCTCCCCTTTTATGCTAATTAAACGTAGAACTAGTTTATACATTCATTGTGCTATTTTCTATTTAAAAACCGTCACCGTTGTTTTTGGCAAGTTATTTTTTATGTTTATGTACACAAGTCATGCTGGTAAAAAATTTTAAAAGCTCTTATACACTTTTAAATAGTCTGTTTTAAATTTGTTAGACTTGAGCTTCCCATTTATTAATTCACAGATTTATATTTAGTATTATATTAATTAAAAGTCAACACAGTGAATAATATTATTATAATTGTATAATTATTATTAACATGATGGAGTGTCGGGATTGTGTAATAACGTACCCGCATCTCCGAATGCTCTCCAATTGAGTGGCATTAAGCTTCTTCGGCTTTCCATACTTATCCTTGTGCAAGCTTTACAGAAATTGTTAACAAATAAAGTCAAGTATTTATCTAATTAATTATTTCATTTATGTTTAATATTAATTTATTAATTTAATTTAATTTTTAAGTATTATTATTGACGCGCAAAATTGCCAATTGTGTAAAAAAAATTTTTTTTTTTTTATTTAAACATGACTTTATAATTTGAAAAAAAAAAAAAAAATTGATCTTTTAAATACGCAGTGTAAGAGTATAAAAATAAATTTTAATTAAATCTATATGACTATAATAATTTAAAAAATCTAAAATGTAAATGTTCTATAGCTACATTAATTTCAAGCGTATTATCTAATTTTTTACTAATTATTATAAGACACTAGCTGTATGAGGACGAGCTAAAATGTGTAAAAATGAGATTATTGATTATTAATTATAATTAATTATTTAAGTTTAATTTTATCAGATTAAAATCTTAAGTAGTTTTTTATGTTGGCTAAAAAAAACCCACCCTCGCTCTCGGATACTTTCTAGCTGCTTGTTTGTGAGCCTCCGCGGCTCTCCTTTGCTGTCGACGGCTACGGCATCAAGCTCGTCGAAACTCGGAGCAATGAATAAATCTCTCAAGTGATGCTTCTTCCGGACCAATGTATCTTCTCCATCAGTGCAGGCTGATAGTGGTGGTGGCAGTACAATTGGAAATGTTCGCCAGTGGTACAAAAATTGTTGAGCAACTTCTTTAATATTGTGTACCAAGGCCTCCACCTCGGCTGGTGCGCCTCGAAGATGACTTGCATCAAACTCAACAGGTTCTTTCTGTAAAATATTTTTAATAATTAATAACTAGCAACTTTGCAGTCACTATGTGACTGCCGTGACTTGTGAACTATGAATAAATGAAATTTTGCTTTATTAAATAATGACTTTTGTTAAATTACACTGTACTTTCTTAAATATTGACATTTTTAAAAATATAAGCTCATCTCAATGCAACACTCATCAAGAGCTTTCATTTGAGTACCTACATGTATTTTTGATATATTTTTCATATATAC